ATAGGTCAGAAACACAGATCTACATAATGGAAAAGCATTGGAGAAGGAATAAATAAAGGTAAAATAAAATCTTTTATTTTTCTTATTCTTAGTTGATCTGAAAGATAACTGTATAAAATAACAATAGTAACAATGTATTGAGTCAATAGCTTATAGGTAAATGAAAAGGGCAACAACAATGTCATAGGGACGGGAGGAATGAGCTGGAGATGACCTGTTATGAGGCTCCTCCATGGCATGTGATGTGGCACAGTGTCACTTGAAGGTGGACTTAGATAAGCTACAGGTACATTGCAAACTATAGGGCAACCACTGTAAGTATCCTTAAGAGACGTATAACTGATAGGATAAAGGAGGAGATAAACAGAATCATATAAAATGCTTAATTAAAACTAGAAAAGGCAGAAAAGGAGGGAAAAAGAAGAAATACAACAAACAGACAACACTCACAAATACCATAGGTATAATCCAACTACACCAACAGTCACGCTAAATGTGAATGGTCCACNGGAGATGACCTGTTATGAGGCTCCTCCATGGCATGTGATGTGGCACAGTGTCACTTGAAGGTGGACTTAGATAAGCTACAGGTACATTGCAAACTATAGGGCAACCACTGTAAGTATCCTTAAGAGACGTATAACTGATAGGATAAAGGAGGAGATAAACAGAATCATATAAAATGCTTAATTAAAACTAGAAAAGGCAGAAAAGGAGGGAAAAAGAAGAAATACAACAAACAGACAACACTCACAAATACCATAGGTATAATCCAACTACACCAACAGTCACGCTAAATGTGAATGGTCCACATACACTGACTGAAAGACAGGTATTCTCAGAGTGATTAAAAAAGACAAAGAACCCAAATTTAAAAGGACTTGAATAGAATCCTCCAGGAAGAAATGCCTGAAAAGAGGCTCCATATCATTAGCCAGAGAGATGCAAATCGACACCACAGAACCACTTCATGCTCACTAGGATGGCTATAATTAAAAGAAAAACCAAGTAAACCAGACCATAGCAAGAGCTGGTGAGGACGTGGAGACACGGCAGCCCTCCCGCGCTGGTGGGGCACGTGGACGGCGCTGCTGCTGTGGGGGCTGGTCTGGCGTAAACGTGCTGCACAGTTACCACGTGGCCCAGTCACTTCTCTCCGAGGCACACACCCAGGAACAATGAAAACACGTCTGCACAAAGACTGGCACACAAACGCTCAAGCAGCATCATTCAGAATAGTCAAAAAGTGGAAACAATCCAAGTACCCATCAACCATGAAGGGTAAGCACAAATACTGACCCTTGAAAACATCACGCAAAGACGCCAGTCACAAAAGAGCTTATGTCGCATTATTTCATTTATATTAAATCTCCCAAATAGGCAAATCCATATTGACAGAAAGTAGATTAGGGGCTGCCAGGGGCTTGGAGGCGGGGGACTGGGGTGAGACTGCCGATGGGTAGGGGTTTCTTTTAGGGGAGATAAAAAGTTCTAACATCAGACCGTGGTGTTGCACAACCCTGTGAATAGGCTAAAATCCCCACTGGATTACCTCCTTTAGATGGGTTCATTGTAAAGTAGGTCAATTATATCAAAATAAAGCTGTGACCAAAAAAACCCTCACTCAGACTCGAGGTTCTTAATTTTCCAAGTAAGACACTGGGATTTTTTTTCAGTGGTGTGTTCCTTTCAAAACATCTACCCACCCACCAGCCACAGACAAAGCTGAGTTCCTCCGTCCAGGGTGCCTGGCCTCGCGTGTTCCTGTCCAAAGCCTGCTGGACGGTCAGCGTGGCCAAGCCAGGCTCTGCACACTGCCCACCCCTGGGTTCTCTCCTGAGGGCTCCTATCCCATCCTGGACCTGCTTCCACACCCCAAAGCCCTAGCTCTGGAGATGCCCTGGTAAGTGGGACTCAAATATTCGACAGTGGGAACACAGAAGAACCCCAGCGAGCGCCTCCCCACCATCCTGAGACTCTTCCCAGCACCGCACCTCCTGCTCCCTACAGGCGGCATCTCTCCACCTGCAATCTCACCCACGTACACCAGGGAGCACCACGAGCGGTCCTGAAGGGGTGGGGGATGGGAGTCTGGCCCAAGGGGCCTGTGTTCCCTGAAACACTGAGGCACCCCGGGATAACCCCAGCCCTGTACCCCACATCATGGTGAGGAGGGGACTGATACCCACCTGCCCAGATCCACACAGGCCCACCAGGTTTGCAGAGATTGCACAGGGGTTGGGGGCCTGAGAGGACCCTCCCTCCCCAGACTCAGATGGGTCCCAGGACAGGGGGACCACTGTTCGTACCCAGTGTCACCACTATCACCCCTGACAACAGCACTCACGACCTTGACTGCTCTTCTGTGAGTGCCAGCTGTATGCTGGTGTCATGGGCTAAGCTGTGTCCCCCAAGAGACGTGCTCAAGTCCTAATGCCAGTATCTCTGAATGTGACCTTATATGGGAACAGGGTCTTTGCAGATGTGATGAAGTTGAGGTCCTACTGGATTAGGGTGGGCCCCAATCCAATGACTGGTGTCCTTCTACGAAGAGGAGAAACAGCCCCACACAGAGGCGGCTAGGTGGCCATGGAAGCAGACACTGGAGGGATGTAGCTGTGTGCCAAGGAGCCCCCAGGACACCAGCAGCCATGACGCGGGGAGGAGCGAGGAAGGACCCTCCCCGAGAGCCTTTGAGGGGACACGGCTCTACCCACGCTCTGGCCCCAGAACCACGAACAATACATCTCTGCAGTTTCAGCCACCTGGTTTGTGGTCATCTGTTACGGCAGCCCCAGGACACTACTGCACCCAGGCATGGCATTAAGGGCTTCGCATACGTGATCCCCACACATGCTCACAGCCCGTGCTCCCGGGGGTCACTGCCTGCCCCATGTCAGAAGGAGCGAGAGGGTCGGAGAAGCTGCGTGACGGGGAGCCAGGGTGGGTGGTGCTGGGAAAGGCAGAGGGAAGGTTGGGGGCTTCTCAGGATGCCGGCAAAACAGTCCGCCAGGCTTTCGAGATGTGCACCCTGCCCAGGGCCCTCACAGGACAACGTGAGGGGACCTTTATACATGCACACAGGTGGTGGAGAGGACCCCGGGCCAGCAGGGACCCCACCCGCCCCAGCACTCACGGACTGGGAGCTGTCCCTGCTGTTGTCGCGGGACCTGTTCTTGGCCAGCCGCTTCTTCTTCTTGTGCAGGGGCCTGGACTCCAGGATCATCTCCTCCAGCTCAAAGGTGGGGTCACAGTGCAGGCGGCCTTTCTGCAGAGGGACAGGTGCTGAGCCCCAGCCCACAGGCACTGCCCACCGCCCAGCCCTGGAGCCGTCTGCGCGCCGCTGCTGGCTTACGTTGGGCACGAAGCCCGGCTCCACCTTCTTCTCGCTCAGGTCGTCCCACGGCACGCTGGCCAGCGACGGGGCCGCCTGCATGTCCTGGAGGCTGGAGAACCGGTGCTCGGGGTTCACGGTGAGGAGCTGCAAGAAGGCCAAAGTGAGCCCGGCCGGACCCCAGCAGGCAGCCGGGCTGGACCCAGGCCCAGCACCCACCAGCACAGCAGAGCCGGCCACCTGCCTCGGCCTGGGCATCTATGCAGTGCCCGCCAGGCCTCCAGTTTGGAAATTCAGGATCTCAGGGCACAATAGGAAAGGTGGAGCCAGTTTCCAGCAAAGCCATGTGGCCGGCTCAGCAGCTGGGCCCAAGGGACCACCTGATCTGCGAGATGCTGGCCAAACCCCTGGCGCCCAAGGACAGCAGCGGAGTCTGCAGGGCTGTGCTGCCATATTCGCCAGCAGGTGGCAGCCCAGGCCTGGCTAGCGGCTCTCTCTCTGCACGTGGCTGGGGACAGCAACTAATCCAAAAAAGTCCTCCAGCACAGTGAAGAACCTCCACGGCCAGTGAGCCCCGGGCAGCGTGCGTGACCAGGGCAGCAGCACCACAGGGCCGGGCACCTCCCGCCTGGCTGCTGATGCCGTGTGCCATTGCCTGTCCAGGGGAAATGCTGCAGTCCCCATTGAGGCCTCCCCAGGCCTGGGACTTGGCATGTGGGTCACCCCCACTTCCCGCTCAGGCCCTCTGGAGCCAAGGTCCCCCCTTGTGAGCCACCAGGCAGGGTGGACAGAGCTTCCTGGGGCAGGGGAGAGCACCAGCCAGGCTGCACCTCTCTGAACATCTAGGCTGCTTGGCTACAATTCCAGGACAGGAGGACTCATGGGCAGGCGTCCAGCCCTCTGACTTCCCTTTCAGAAGCACCAGCCATATTGTTTACAGCACGGCCTTCCAAGTGGGGAGCTGGCAGGCCAGCGAGGAGCAGACCCCAGCCCAGCCTGAGCATGATGGGAGGCCCCGCTGACAGCAACACCAGGCCCCGAGCCCCGCCAGGCTGATGCCCCTGGGCTGCTGCAGACATGCTTAGGCCCTGGGAGGTGCCCAGAGACCTGGTTTCTTTTGTGCACTCCCTGGGTAGAGCACCCTTTCCATAGGAGGACAGGGCTAGAGGCCAGAGAGCAGTGTGGGCCCCGCACCTGGCCCCAGTGCACACCCGGGCGCGGGTGAGCTGGCACAGGACTTCTCTGCACCGCGGTGTGAGCTTTTGTGCAGGGGGTGATGGCCAGTGCCCAGGCACGCAGGCTCGCTGTGGGGATGAAATTAGACAGTTGTGCACAGTGACTCCGCACATGGCAGGGGCCCAAACAGGGCTCGCTGTGATAAGAGACAACCAGGCCGCCCCGCCCGGCTGGAGAGGAACACAAGATACACAAAACACACGAGCCGGGCTTGCTTTCCCTGACACGCGGGTCTCAGAGCCGCTGTCTGGGGAAGGCCTCCACGAGGTGCTAGTGAAGGGGTCTCACCCACAAGAAGGGGTGCTGAGTCTGCACCGGGAGGGGTGCCCACCCTGAGCTCCACGTAGAGTGAGCTGGGGGGCAAGGAGGCACGGGGCGCAGGCTCACCTTCCGCAGCAGGGCCACCATCTCCTTGGACCAGGTGGGGATGTACTGGACACTCACAGTGCTGAACAGCTGCACCAGGGACTCCACAGCGTCACTCGAGTGGACATCGTAGGGCCTCTGGGGGCAGAGACAGTGTGGTGCCAGGTGCTCCTTGTCCCCCATCACACCCAGAATAATGCCAGGCACCCAAGAGCACTCCCATACCCTCACCCCAAGTGCAGGCACAGGTCTGAGCACGTCCTCCCCCCACACGGAGCAGCAGGGAGGTGAAGCCAGCCCCTAGGCCGCCCCACACCACAGCCCCCCGAGGGCCTGGGTCCTGGGTGGGTCAGCCCTGGAGGGCCAGGAGGGGGCTGTCTCCCTCAGAGGTGGTGTCTGGTGGGGTGGCCGAGGGGGCACAGTGCCTTGGACAGCCCCCAAGAAGGTGTGGGGAGGGATAGTTTGGGCCTGAGGCAGCGGTGTGGCCAGGGGGGGAGCACACAGGGACCCCCACGGGAACCCTGCGGGAGGTTCCGAGGAGGCGCCCTGCTGGACAGCTCTGCAGGGCAGCGAGCTAGCCCCAGCACGGGCCAGGACACCCACAGTGAGCTTACTCCGTCCTTCGCCTGCTCAAGCATTCACTCATTGACCCAGATGCTTTGCTAAAAACAGAGTCCTCAGGGGCTAGTACAAACATTCCTGGGCACCTGGGGACTGGGGCAGCCTCGTCCCTCCTGGTGCTCGGGCCAGCTGGGGTCTGAGGGCCCCGCGGGGCTCAGAAGCTCCGTACCCATCCTCGCAGCAGCTCGTAGGCCATCACTCCCACCGACCACCAGTCCACCTCGAAGGAGTAGCCGGTCCCACCGCTGACGAAGGAGTGGAAGATCTCCGGAGCTTTCCAACAGAGAGGGAAGGACAGCCGAGCTGCCGCAGGGATGGCAGCCCCACGACCAGGCTGCCTGCAGAGCCGGCCAGGGAAGCCGCCCTCCCCGGGGCTCTGCCCTGACCCCCCTGGAAGCAGCCAGTCCCAGCCCCAGCAGAGAGACAGATGTGCAGCCAGACCTTGGCTCTGCTCAGGTCCTGCCACCCTGACGTGGTGTTGGTCTCGTCTCACTTTTAAACCCCATATCTCTCATGTGCACCCTTAGATCCTCTGTACGCATCAAATATGACTGTTGCAAAAACCATGGCCCCATCATTATGGCTGCGTGACTTTAGGGACATGGGTTAACTTCACCAGCCACAGACTCAGCACGGGAGACCCCCAAGGGCCAGCGGGGCTGCAAGGCTGGGAGTGAGGACTGGGCCGTGGGCGTGGCCAGGTGTGGCCAGGGCAGGTGGGTGACAGTCTGAGTGGCCTTTGGCTTACCCATATACGGCTTGGTGCCGGCTAATGCCGTCGCCCTCTCCCCGTCCTTGATGATGGTGGCGATGTTGAAGTCGGTCAGGTGTGCGTGTCCTATGAGGAGAGAGGGCAGGTGCAGCTGTCCCGGGACCAGACATGTCCTTGTGGGCAGGGTCACTGCCCACCCATCGCTGCCCACCCCCACCTCTGACCACTGCCAGCTGGCGCCGCATACCTTGCTCATCTAGGAGAATGTTGTCGGGCTTGACGTCTCTGTAGGAAGTGGGAAAGTGGGAAGACGCTCCTGGAGCCCCTCCCATCCCTGCCCCGGAATCCCTGGCAGAGCCGAGGTTCCCAACACACCCCCCACACCCACCCCCCGAGGCAGAGGCCTGGGAAGCTTGAGCTGGTCCTTGGGACAGCACTAGCCCTAACACCTCTGGGTGGGACAAACAAAGAGGTACCCCCCCTTCTGGCAACATTCCCAGACATCACTGGGTGAAACCAGCGCCTCCATTCTGGTGGGGGGAGCCACCTCCAGGATCCCACCTACTGAGACCAGACTGCAGGACAGCCCCTGGCACTGGACACAGAGGGGTGCCTGCAGCCTGAAGCTTCCAGAGGACAAAAGCAGGCCCTCCTCGCCTGGACCCCCAGGATGGCCCCTCTGCCAATGCCCCGGGCTGTGCAGAATGGCCAGCGCCAGCCTGTCCCTCCCACGATGAGGCCTCATCATGGGAGACCAGCCAGCCTCAGCCTTCACTATGCCTTGACTCCCAGGCACACAGTTGGCACTCAGTGTCTGTCTGGTGCCTGAATCAAGACCAGATAACAAAACGCTCGAGGGCAGAGAAACCAGGTCTATCTGACTTTATAATACACCTTGCAGAATTTTTAATTTTGTTCTGTGGCTACAGAATTTCAGTCTAATTTCTGCTTCTTAATTTTTCTGCTTTCAGCTAATGTTAGGATCAGTTGAAATTCCCCAGGCACATGGTAGACGGACACACAGGTTATGCGGGTTATGGCGGAACCCCGCAGTTAAACAGACCAGATGAAAGCCACTTGATGTGACCAGGTCCTGTGTCCACCCATGACAGCTAACAGCCCTCTGTGCCCAGCTCAGCTGGGGCTACTTGGACAGGGTCCACCCCTCAGTTGGGCACTAACTATGCAGCTGTGGAGCTGACTTTGGAGCCAGGCATCAATCCCAGGTGCACAGCCGGGGGTGTCCTGTTGGAGTATGGACGTACCTCAGGTGGCCTGACCCGAAGCTACTGCCAGCCTGCCTGACCAAGACAGGGCCCCACCCCATCAGGTGTGCACACACCTGTGGATAATGTGCTGACTGCGCAGGTAGTCAAGGGCCAGTGCCATCTCGCAGATGTACAGCCTCACCGTGTCCTCGGAGAACTGGACATTCTGCTGCAGGTGGTAGCGCAGGTCCCCGCCCAGAAGCAGGTCTACCACCATGAACATGTCCTCCTCATCCTGGAAGGAGTACCTGTGGGCACCAAGGGAGGACCTGGCATGCCCACAGCTGGGGAACCAGAACCATGACTCCTGCCACACCTGGCATGCACCCCCCGCCTAAGGACCACTGCCCCATACCACCATCACCCACAGGGCATTCCTAGGAGCAGGGGCCTACCCAAGGTGCCATCTGTACTCTTGCTCAAAGCTGCTCTGAGCTAAGGCCTTTGGGAAAGACAGAGCACCCTGTCCTGGGGGTGGCCTAGCTGGGGGCCAGAGATGCCTGTGAAAGACAAATGGACAGCAGAAATACAGAGCTTGTCCCTGGTTGTTTTGGGATGCCCTGGTTTCCTCCTCTGTAAAATGGGGATAAAAACGTCTGCCCTGGGGAGTTGTTAAAGAATATGAGATGGTATGGGTGAAGTTCTTGGCACAGTGCTTGGCAAGAGGCTGACATTTAATAACCAACAGGGACGGTGATAATGTTGATGGTGATTATGATGAAGGTGATGATGGTGATGATAATGATGGTGGTGGTGGTAGTGATAGTGATGATGGTGATGTTGATGCTGATGGTGAAGATGATCATGGCGGCGATAGTGGTGATGCCATGTTGATGATGATGGTGATGGTGGTGGTGATGGTCATGGTGGTGGGGGGTTATGGAGATGATGGTGGTGGTTAAAGTGATGATAATGGTTATGATGATGGTGATGATGGTGATGGTGATGATGGTGGTGATGGTGGTGATGATGGTGATAATGATGGTGATTATGATGTTAATGGTGATGATGATGTTGATGTTGGTGATGATGGTGATGGTGATGACAGTGATGGTGATGATGGTGGTGATGGTGGTGATGATGGTGATGGCGACAATGATGGTGAGGATAATGATGGTGATGATGATGTTAATGGTGATGATGTTGATGTTGGTGTTGATGGTGATGATGTTGGTGATGATGGTGATGGTGATGATGGTGGTAATGGTGATGATGGTGATGATGGTGATGGTGGTGATGATGGTGGTGATGGTGATGATGATGTTAATGGTGATGATGATGTTGATGTTGGTGATGATGGTGATGGTGATGACAGTGATGGTGATGATGGTGGTGATGGTGGTGATGATGGTGATGGCGACAATGATGGTGAGGATAATGATGGTGATGATGATGTTAATGGTGATGATGTTGATGTTGGTGTTGATGGTGATGATGTTGGTGATGATGGTGATGGTGATGTTGGTGATGATGGTGATGGTGATGATGGTGATGATGGTGATGGTGGTGATGGTGGTGATGGTGATGATGGTGGTGATGGTGGTGATGGTGGTGATGGTGATGATGGTGGTGATGGTGGTGATGATGGTG